AGATGCGTTAATGGCGGAGGAAGAAGAAGGTGTGTTTGGTTTTGTTTGTAAGAATTTTAGGTTTGGGGAATAGTATATATTTTTAAAAGATACATATACTTCATTAATCCTAATTAAGCATAATCAAGTTTAATTACTCTTATCAATAATATAGCTATTTAGTAAAAACTTTAAAACTTGATAGCCTTTTAATTAATTCAAACTTGAAAGGTTGTTTTAATAAACAACCCAGTGTTTTTTTGGGGGAATCTCTTGTTTTTTATTTTATTGTATATTTTATATTTATATCCCTAAACCATTGCCTTCATGAAAAAAAAAAAAAAAAAGCTAAAATGGGTGGGAAATTTTGACTTAGTAAAACTTTTGAGCGTGGGAAACTTTTGCTTAGTGAATTCTTTTTTTTTTTTTTTTTCAACTTAATCCTGTCATGAAGCTGGCAAAATAAATTTATGTAATTTATTTTTATCAACAGTAATAATTATTAAGAATCATTTAAAATGATCAAAAATTATTTTAAATTCTTGACGGTTTATAAATTATCAAAAATCTATTAAAAATTACAATTGTTGACTTTTTTTTAGAACGTCATAAAATCTATCAACAGAACTTCTATTCTCAACTAAGTTGCTTCTTGCCTCCCCAACCTTCTTCTTGGTATCCTTAGGTAGTTCAACACCTCTCTTGCTATTGCAATTCCAAGTTCTTACATTTTTTTTCTAAAGAATTTTAATAATATTTTTTGCATCAAGTCCTTACCTTTCTCTAATTTGTTCCCACAAGAGGAATTCCTTTTTAATCTTACTTCTAATGCTTAAAAGAAATATACATTTACATGAAAAAAAAAAATCTTATTTTCACTTATTATTGTTGGTTTAATTATCTTACTGTTCCATGTGAAAAATATGTAAATGTGAAATAGTTCAATGTATACAGTATCAAATGCAAAGTGGCTCAATTATTAAGAAATAGATTGAGGAGGATAATATTTCTAGTTTGTAGTAGTACTGGGTCAACACTATTGAATGAGACAATGATATTGGAAGTTAGATGTAACAATATTACCATTCGAAGCCTTGTGGGTAGTTTGAATGGCAAGAGCCATTTCTTGAGAACACCGCATCATAAGCTATCCAAATTATTCTTTTGTTTATCATTTCTTCTGTTTCCAGTTATATCCTCTGCAACTAAATGTGCAAGAACGGTGTGCATGAGCACGAGGAGGTAACTAAGTTACCAAAGAGTGCGAGAGAGGCAAAAGAAGCAACCCAAGACGCTGAGTATGCCTAGAGAGTACCACAAGCAAGAAAGAAGAGAAGGAGAATGTTTTCTGTATATTACTTTTCATGTACAGAAGTTACAATTTTAACACTTGTAAATGTAACATGTAAGGCAACCAATAAAGGAAATAATGTGATCAATACACAAGTTACTTACATACCTACATATGGGAGTTACTACATCTTCTAAATATGTACTGTACAATCATTCACATGTCAACACTCCCCTCAAGCTCGTGGTTTATAAATGCATAACCTCCGAGCTTGCTCAATAATGTGAATGTTGTCTCTGACCCAATGGTTTTGGTGAATATGTCGGCTGGCTGATCTGAGGTTCGATGTGCTCTGTTTTAAATCATCCCTTCCTACTTGTCTCTGATAAAGTGGCAATCAATTTCTATGTGCTTTCGTTCTCTCATGGAGACTGGATTGGCAGCAATATCATTGGCCACTTTGTTGTCCCAATAAAGCTTAATTGTGTTTCCACTTGAAGATTCAGGTCTCGTAAATATCCGAATCCATGTCACTTCACATGTGGTCTTGGCCATAGCTCTGTATTCTGCTTCTGCTGATGAAGTGATACAGTAGATTGCTCTTTGTTTCCATGAAATGAGGGATTTCCCAAGTTAAACACAGAAACCAGTGAGGGATCTTCTTGCATTAGCATGAACCCAATCTGAGTCGCAGAATGCAGTGATGTTGAGGTCTCCTTTCCTTGAAAAGAAGTCCTAGCCCTAGACATCCCTTCAAATATTTAGTACCTTCACTGTTGCATCCATGTGGGATTGCTTAGGGGCATGCATGAATTGCTAAGGATTTGAACTACATAGCTGATTTATGGTCGAGTCATGGTAAATAGGACCTTCGACAAGCCGTTGATATTGGAACTATCTTCAATAATGGATCAATCTTCGGGTTTTTGGCTTTTTTCATCATACTCTTTGTGTGAGCTTAACATTTTATTCTTCGGAATGACGCTGGTTTTTGCATGCAGCTAGTCCTGAGTCAGAAATGAGTTCAAGTACATATTTCCTTTGGCTGAAGGATATTCCTTCTGAGGATGAGCAATCTCAATACCCAGAAAATTTTTGTGTCCCTAAATCTTTAATGTGGAATGTACTGTGAAGATACTCTTTAAATTCTGTGATTGCTTTCTCATCATTTCCTGTAATGAGAATGTCATCCACATAAATATGAGACTGATGAAGACTCACCCTGTGTGTCGGAAATAAGGCACATCATGTTTGGATTGGCTGAATCCAATGGCTGTGAGAGCTTCTGTAAATTTTGCATTCCACTGCCGTGATGCTTGTTTTAGCCCATATAAAGATTTCCGTAATCGACATACAAGATTCCCTCCCCTGATGTGAAGACTGGGAGGAATGTCCATAAAAATCTCCTCATCAAGATCCCTAAAGAAGCATTATGACGTCCATCTGATGAAGGGGCCAATCATGGTGAAACGACATAAAGAAATGTATGGACAGTGACATGTTGGCTACCGGGGAGAAGTTTTCCTGATAGTCAAATCCTTCACGTTGAGTGAAGCCTTTAGCAACCAGACAAGCTTTATACCTTCGATGGAACCATCAGCACGATACTTTATTTTGTAGACCCACTTACAACCAATGGGTTTCCTATGTGAGGGTCGAGGAACAAGGTCCCAGTGTGGTTTAACTAGAGAGCATTCTTCTATCTCCATGGCCTGACGCCAACAAGTATGTTGGACGGCACAGAAAATGTGCTGGTTCTCAACAGCAAAATATTGTTTCAACAAATTTGTGTTCAGGAGATAATCGATCAAAACTAACATAATGGATATGGATAAGTGGTACCTATCACAATGGAGTAAAGGTGATCAGCTGTCCAGACAGTGGTTGGGTAGTTCTGGAAGACCAGCGTAAAAACAGTAGCTGGCAAGGAGTAGGAAGGCCCATATCTGTAGGTGAGGAGTTCCTAGGAAGGAACCGTGGTGTGGGAGAGTTTGGAGTTGGTCAGAAACTGTGGAGTCAGGATCCAAGCGTGGGATGATCAGACTGCAGTTGAGGAAATGGAATGGGAATATAGTGATAGGAGATTTCGGCTGAAATCCAGGGAGGCAGAAGCAGTGGAGCTGATTCTGTGTCAGGTGCGGAGAAGGGAAAAATACTCTCATGAAGACACATCTCTCTAAACAAGAATTTGTTAATTGAGGATCATAAAGGCGATATCCTTTTTGGCATAGGATAGCCCATGAAAAACATTTCCTGGCACGAGGACAAACTTGTCACAGGAACCCACTATTGTGGAATAACATAAACAACCAAAAACATGTAAGTGAGAGTTATCAGGTATCTTTCCAAACAGTAATTCAAAAGGTTTTACCTCCAATAACCCGTGAAGGCATGCGATTAATGAGATAGGTAGCAGTGATTACACATTCGCCCCAAAATTTGGCGGATATTGGCTTGGTGTTTGAGGGCTCGTGCTACTTCTAAGAGGTGACGGTGTTTTCTTTCAACAATCCATTTTGCTAGGAGTATAAGTGCAGGAACTCTCGTGGAGAATCCCGTGGGAGAGGACCAAGAAAGAGCATTGCTGGTTAAAAAGTCTAAAGCATGACAGTCCATAACCCTTTGAACTTGTGTTTGGAATTGTTTTTGGACCGTGGAGAAAGTTGAGAATATGGGAAAAGCCTAAGCTTTGGATTGCATTAGAATATCCAGGTTCCGCGAGAAAAATCATTCTACGACGGTAAGAAAATACCTGGATCCATCATGATTAGGGACAGAGTATGGGCCCCAGATATCAAGATGGATTAGGGCAAAAGGGTGGTCAGTGGATGATGTGCTAATGGGAAAACTCGTCCGTGGTTGTTTGGCAATGGGACAAATTGGACAATGAGAGTGAGGGATAGATGCACTGTGACCCATTCTTTGGTGAAAAATAAGAGATTTATTATTGAAATTGACATTACAATAATTTTTATTACTAAGAAAAGAAAATGGCTCCCAGTAGTAGAGTCCCTGGTGGGCTTTACCCAAGCCCATCTGTTTGCCAGTCAAAGGATCCTGAAAGGTACACATATCTGGAAATAATTGTAGTGTGCATTTATTATCAGTGCAAAATTTGGATACAGATATGAGATTAAAATTAAAAGCAGGAACCAAAAGGACATTTTGGAGAGTAATGCTATCAGTGAGGTTGACTATACCTGTGTGGGTTGCATTGGCAATATTGCCATTTGGCATACGAACAGATAATTGTGTAACAATGTTTGTGTGTGAGTGAAAATATTTAGGGTCACAAATTATGTGATCACTAGCACTTGAATCAATAATCCATAAATCACGGGAAATTGAATTACTGAAACAAAAAGATGTACCTGCATAACTTGCAGAAGCATTGTTTGTTGGAAGTTGATTCAACATCTGGATGAGTTGAGTGATTTGTTCTGGTTTGATCAAGGATGATTGTGTCTCAGAGCCAGAAGTGGTAGTGACGGTCACATTGTTTGCAGTCGGAGAGCCCATTTTATTCTTAGGGTAACCATGTAATTTCCAGCATCTATCCCGATTGTGATTCCGCCTTTTGCAATAGTCACAGTACATTTTTTTACTCGATCGTGATGATCCAGAACCATTTGAGCCATATTGGGGGTGAAAAAATTTTGGCCATTAGATGAATTGCCAAAATTTTGACTGGGTTGACCGTTGACCTAGTTGACCGCGTGTGAGCCGTTAGATGGTTGGATTGAATCTTGGCCGTTCACGGCTTTATATAAAACATGCTGTTGCTCATTCGCAAACCCTAGCCGTAGGATGCCTTCACCTTGCTTCTCTCGATCTGCAGCGAAGGTCATGGAATCACCCAACTGTGGTGATTCCATGGAGGCGAGGCATTGGCTCTCGTCCTAGACAGCAAGTTGGTAAGCCCGGCGGAGGGACAGTGGTGAGGTGGCGGCCAACATCTGGGTTCTGAGGGCTAAAAATTTTTCGTTTAATCCAAGGAGAAAATGGATTAAACGATCCTGTTCTTTTATTTGTTGGTATTGTTGCAGGGTTTCCGGTGGGCCACGGAGGGGATCGGTGACGGCAACGAGTTCGTTCCACAGGGTTGAAAGGTGATTGTAATAGACCGTAACGGTTTGGTTTTTTTGCTTAACATCGGCAAGATTTTGCTGTAAGGTGAAGAGTTTGGCCAGATCCAACTGCCGTACATTTCTTTGACGAATAGCCAGAGTTCCTCGGTGATTTCAGTTGGAGGTAAACCGGCGGCAATCTCCTGGGTCAGGGAGTTGCCGATCCATGAGCGGACTAACATGTTGCATCGGGTCCAAAATTTGTGTAGATGTGGATCCTCCGGTGGTGTGACGATGCCATCAATAAACCCGTCTTTATCTTTTGTGATTAATGCCCGTCGGAAATCGCAAGCCCAGGTCGCGTAATTTTCGGTGCCGGTGAGAACGTGTTTAACCAGTACTAGTTCAGGGCCATCGGATGGGGAGGAGTACAGAGGGTCACCGGGCTCCGGCCGGCGAGATTGAGGCTGTAAAAGCTGGAATTGGTAGGGAAATGAGTTCGGGCCAGTTTGACCTGAAAATCTGAAGGGAAAAGTGTTCGGGTCGGGAAGAGGGTTTGGGTTGGGGTTGGGGTTGGGATTGGGCTCTTTATTTGGGTCCATTTGTGTGTGTGGGTTGGCCTGGTTGTTTGCTGGATCGGGCCCAATTGGATTTGACTGGTTTGTAGCCATTTGGTTTGGAGGACTAACTTTTGGTGCGTGTTTTGCAGGAAAGAGCGAACTATTGGTGCGTAACAGGTAGAGTTTCTGGCAGGACAACCTGCTCTGATACCATGTAAGAAGCTGGTGTGGCAGTGAGCACGAGGAGGTAACTAAGTTACCAAAGAGTGCGAGAGAGGCAAAAGAAGCAACCCAAGATGCTGAGTATGCCTAGAGAGTACCAGCAAGCAAGAAAGAAGAGAAGGAGATTTTTGTATATACATATTTTCATGTACAGAAGTTACAATTTATACACTTGTAAATGTAACATGTAAGGCAACCAAATAAAGGAAATAAATGTAGATCAATACATACAAGGTAATTACCTAAACTACATATTTGGAGATTACTACAAATCTTCTAAATATGTACTGTACAATCATTCACATGTCAACAAAATGCATATAATTATTCTTCTACTTCTGCTCACTAAAGTTGTTACTTCACACTCATCGATCTCGATCGTTAAAACCTTGCCACGCTTTCCTGTTAATCTCCCATTCAAACTCGAAAGTGGGTGAGTTTTAGTTTCTTTATTTTCTTCTCTATTAATCTGATCATCATCACGACTTAACGTGTATGTTTATAAAATGAACTTACTTTGAATTGTAGTTATATCGGGGTGGGCGATTTCGATAATGAACAGTTATTCTACTACTTCATTGAATCTGAAAGGAGCCCGAAAGATGACCTTCTTATGCTTTGGCTCACCGGAGGCCCTGGTTGTTCTTCCTTTTCTGCCCTCGTCTATGAGATTGGTATTTTTCTTATTCTTTTTCTCGCTAACTTGGAATATGTTACTTTCGGCAGATTAAAGTAAAAAAAGAAAAAAGAAACTCACAAGAGAGTTATAAAACAGAAGTCTTCTTGGTTAAAAACTGATGAAGTTCATCAAATATAATTCAATCTTTTCAACCAGGTTCAAATTCAAATGGGATAAATTTATTATTTTGTTGTAGCTGCATGTTGATAGATTAGGACGATAATTAATAAATAATGATTGATGATACTTGATAGAAGGAATAATTAATTATGTTCTTTAGCACATCTATGAGTTTAACATTTTGTTTGGGCTATTCGTATTATTAATAATCATAATAAAAAATGAATATATTTTGAAACCCTATTTCTCATTGGAGAGGAAAAAATGCTGAAATATTTTGGAGAGGTGAAGGTTATCTGCAAGGGGGTTCTAAAACTACAAAAGTCTTTTGTGAGTTAGGCGAAATTAACCTCACGGGAGATTGGTATTTTTCTTATTCTTTTTCTCATTTTAAATGGATAACTAAAAGTTAATTCTTGAGGTTTGGCCTAACACACACTTGGGTCTAATAGAAATTTTAGTAACATTTTAGTCTCTATTAGTAAAATAAAAATACCTTTACACTGTTTAATAGATGAAAATTTCATCACCTGATGACCATAACGTTGCTAATTTCTTTTTTTTTTTTTTTTTTTTTTACCAAACTCAATTTACTTAGACCAAACATCATGGACTAACTCATAATTATTCCCATTTGAATTGAAAAAGACCTTATTCAAACAAGCAGGCCAAAACTCAATTAAACTACTATCTTAATTAACCAGTACTAAATATGAGATTAGTTACTTCTAAAAGTTTAGCAAATAAATTTCTAACATTTGATAATTATTTTTACAATAATTCCTACTTAAATAAATGAATATTATTTTATAGATTTTTTTAATAATGACTTTTTATTGTTTATCAAATGACTATAAAAGTAGTTGAGAACTTTTATAGTATTGGCTTTACTTACTTCATTGTAGGCCCAATGTCATTTGACCACAAAAGGTCTAGGGACTTTCCAACGTTTGTGTTGAATCCATATTCGTGGACGAAGGTGAATAATTAAATTCGCTTACTGCATCTATTCTATTTAATTGATAAATAAAGCTCCCTTAATCATCCTCGATCTTAATTATTGTACAAATTCAGGTTGCCAACATAATATTTTTAGACGCACCGGTTGGCTCTGGATTCTCATATGCCAAAAGTTGGCAAGGATTCAACATGACTGATACAATTTCAGCAGCACAAACCTATTCTTTTCTGAGAAAGGTGAGTTCAATTTGTTTTATATCAAATGAATAATCGCATATCAAAATAGCTTTATGATTAAAAAATCGAATCAGATTTTAATATTTAATATTCTAAGCTTTAAGTGTATAAGACTGATTTTTTTTTAAATATAAAGTTGTAATTCACTATGGACTGTGGTCAGTAGGCCAGAAAAACAATATCCCTTAGATGGACTGTTTAGGATTTACGTTATTTTTTAACTTAAAAAATATACATTATAATATTTTAGTACAGTAACAGTTTATTTTATTTGTTCATTTATTAATGAGTTGTTTGCAGTGGCTTATGGATCATCCCAAATTCCTCAAGAATCAACTCTATATTGCTGGAGATTCTTACTCGGGCAAAATTGTTCCAATGATTGTTCAGGAAATATCTGACGGTAATTTATGCGCTGAAATCCAGCCCATGGGCCCTGATTTGTTCCCTCTTTAATTTACTAAGACATATTTTTGTTTAACTATATATTTGTTTTCAACTATTATTCTCAGCAAGTCTCTATCTGTCTCTTTTTAATTTTTTTTTTGGTTCTTTTTATAGGTATTGATGCCAGGATCGAGCCGATAATGAATCTCAAAGTACATAAAATCAATTACATAAATTAATGATCCATTTACATGTAGCAAATTTCAGTGCCTAGATTTCTTCAGTTTTATCAACTTATAAATATTATCACAGGGGTATGCGCTTGGGAACCCAGTTACGGATGAAAACAAAGATAAAAATTCAAGAATTCAGTTCGCTTACCTAAAGGCAATTATCACCCATGAAATCTACGAGGTGAGAATCCTTCAAACATATATATTGCTTTTATATCAACACAGTCATTTAGTATCATAAATTATCTCAACAATTTTTTTTAATAATAATTATGTATCAGGGCCAGACACATAATTATCATGACTCATATGACAGTTCATTTAAAAACTCTTTATAGGTGTAGAAGGACTAAAATTACATATATGGCTTAGGTTATTGTACAAAAAATTGTGCCACAAATTCTTAGTCTTTAATTCAATGTAATCTAATAGACTTGGATAAGAAATTAAAGCATTAGTTATCTTTAATACCAACAAATTAATTTTCAAGCCATTGAGTTATTGTAAAGTTATGATCATAAATTTATGTCACAAATTAATGTTAAAACGTATTGCAAATGATTATCACATATCAACATGAACACACTAATAATTAATTGTATTAATTCAAGGGTCTTAGATAAATTCTGTTATCCAACAATACTTTTATTTTATTGTTTTCAGTCAGCCAAAACATATTGCAAGGGCGAGTATGTAAATGTAGATCCAAGTAATGGTTTATGTAAACTGTATCTTCAAAATGTCACAGAGGTGAGTAGAACAACATTACTGTCATCTTTTAATAAAGTTGTGTTCGTATTTAGAAAGATTGAACTTTTACGAATTCAATTTGCAGTGCACTCAAAATTTATATATCGCCAACATATTGGAACCTGGATGTAGTATGGATGCATCACCTAAACCGAAGCTATTGACTTGGGATCGCTCAATACTCATGGAACAGGATTTCTCAGATTTTCTCCTTTCGCCAACTCAACCTCCAACTTCCTGGTGTCGGGTAATGAATTATACATGACTTGGCTATGTTGAACTACAACAGGAGAGTGTATATGTGAAGAGATGCACAAAATTTTATAGCTATTTTAACAAATCAACAATATAACTCATGAGCTGTTCTTTATGATTATAGGTTTATAATTTGTACTATTCATACGAATGGGCAAATGATAAAACTGTTCAAAGGGCTCTTGGAGTTCGAGAGGTATGTTGTTTGTGAGATAAGTAGCATCCAAAATTTTGAAATTATTTTGCTAATGAAATATAAGGAATGATGAGCAGGGAACTAAAAAGGATTGGGCAAGATGCAATCGAAGCATATTATACACCAAAGATGTACCCAGTAGTCTTTATTATCATCGAAACCTAATCAAGAGAGGTTATCGAGTTCTGATTTACAGGTAAGTGGATAAAATTTTTACCCTTTTTTACTGTTTGCTGCATTTGCGAACACACACATATATATAAAATATCAAATAATTGCGGAAACATTTGAGATCTTTTATGTGAGATCATCGTTTCTCTTTTATTATGTGCCTTTCATTTTTGTTATTGAGTAGAGGTAGAGCTAAACTTTCTTAATATACAGCGGGGATCTTGACATGGAAGTTCCATAAGTGGGAACAGAAACATGGATCAAGTCACTAAATTTGACAGTTGAGAGCGGTTGGCAACCATGGTCTGTTGAAGGCCAAGTTGCAGGGTATTTGGTTAATTTATATTTTTCATACAAAAAATTTCATTAATTAATCAGCTTTAGACAGTTAATGAATTTATCTCATGATTAATTCTTTTGTAGATACTGGATGCAGTACGCAGAAGGCATTTATAGTTTGACATATGCCACAGTGAAGGCAAAATAATTTTCCAAATCGAATATATTAATATCTGAATAAGCTAATTAATTTAAGGGGGTAATTAATTCCGTAGTGTTGTTTGTTTTGTGTAGGGAGGAGGTCATACTGCTCCAGAGTACAAGCCTAAAGAATGTCTGGCCATGATCAGCAGGTGGTTAGCCTTATACCCTCTCTGACCTACGTTTCTGTATTCATGAATTTTCATCCTGTCTATCTACAGCATCAACATCTATATCTGTCATGTTTGGAACCTTTGGATATGTATTTTCTTTCTTTAGTTTACTCGTTTTAGTTTATTTGGATATGTTTTATTATCTTATTTTTCATTAATTATAATTGTTTAATTTATTTATCAGCAATATAATATGTATGTCTGAGAGTCTGTAAGCTCGCGACGTTAGAAAACTGCAGTGTATTTATACAGTTAGTTTAGTTAGTTACAGGTAGTGCGGTTAGCTTACAGCTATAGTTAATTGAAGGTTGGTTAGTTTTTCAGTTGAGTTAGCTGCTGCAGTATACCAGTGTAAAGAAGTCAATGTTGATCGAATGAATAATAAAAAGAAGTATTTTTTCCCAAATTCTTTGGTTTCGTTTGTTAACATTGTTAATTGCTCAATAAACCTAAATGATAGATTTATTAGTTATTTTAATATTTGAAATGATTGAATTTATAATATGAATGGAAAATTTTATTATTTATTTAATCCTATCTAATAATACTATATTGTTAGATAATAAAATTAATTTTAGTATAATCTAATTAAATGTTTAAACTATAAATTCTTAAAATTAATTAATATCTTTTATATTTTTATATAAATTACTTAAAAAAAAAATTATGTAAGATATTATTGATCATAATATTTATATAGTAACTATAAAGTTTTTAAATTAATATCATGCTAATAATTTATATTGTAAATAAATAAATAAAATTTATTCCCATTCATTTGGGATTAAATGAAGATGATGGAACTAAAATATAGTCTGGTCACATTAATAAAGTCTTGCACACTCTCATATTAACCTAAAAATGGGTCAAACTAGTTTAAAAAAAACAGTAAAGTTTTAATTATCGTAGCTTTTAAACATGACCTAAAGGCTAAATAAATGACATTCAATGACATCAATATGTTATATCATATGTTTCTTTGATTTCTTGTAAATAAAATATAATAATATGATCAAAGTTCTCGTTCTTTTAGTTCTCATCAATTTAATAAATTAGAACATGTATGTACTGTAATTGCGATATATATTTTTAATTAGTTTTTGTCATTTTTTTCTTGACCAGGATAGTCAAATCAACAAAAATAAAATTATTTATACATCAATCATATTTTTTATTACAAAAAAGGAAATAAAAAATCTTGTGTTGTTTGAAGTAGGTTATCAAATTTTGGATGTGAAAGAAATTCAATATCAAATAAAGAAAGGTAAAAATAAATTAAAATAATTTTATATGAATAATGTTATAAATATAAACTTAGTATAAATTTATGTGATGTTTCTATATAATTTTCATATTATTCATCTTAATTTGTTTAACGTGGATTTTTTTATGACATATTGGTCCAATTCTTAATTTCAAGGAATAATATGATTGAATTTACCAAGAGATTCATATACCCGAAGTCAACATATAATAAATGTTTGACATATCAAATGAGAATATTCATATGATAGTATATTCTTAACAGTGGAACCTGCATTAATTAGGAAAACAAAGTTGAAAGAAAATAGAATAACATGTGGAATTAATAAGATAATATGTTTTACCTTTTATCAAAATGTCATTACGAAGAATATCTCCCATTGGCTATTGTTATGAGAGTCTTTACCTTTCTCTAATTTGTTCCACAAAGAGGAATTCCTTTTTAATCTTACCTCCTAATGCTTATTAAAAGAAATATACATTCATATGAAAACCACTCTTTTTTTCACTCATTTATTGTTGGATTTGATTATCTTATTGTTCCACGTGGAAAATATTTAAATATGTATCAAATGTGAAGTAGTTCATTCTATACGGTATTAAATGCAAAGTGACTTAATTATTAAGAAATAGATTGAAAGGAGGATAATGTAATGAAAATAAGATATTTACAAATTCAACTTTTAAAATATTTTTAATTATCATTGGGGCTTAAAAAAAAGATTTGTGCAGGCTTAAACAAAACCCTCGAGGAAATTTTTAGCCTAATTGACCTTGACCAAACTAGAGTCCATAATAATTACTGAACAAGCCTAAAGTATACGAACAATGGTCGAAAATAAATAACATATTGAAAATGGGTCAAATTGAAGGTTTGGACCGTCTATGGCTCAAACACAAGAAATCTAGCCAGAGGGAATGAGGCCCAAAACCTATGCTGCTACTATGTCTATTCTTTCACCATCATCTTCTGCTGACTCCTAATGTCATGTTTTTTCCTAATTCCAATTTTAACAATTCTGAAAATTATTAAAAAAGACTAATTAAAAATTATAACTACAGCCAACAATAATTTTTATAAAACCTAAATAAAACCTTATTTTTACTTCAATGTTTTTCAAAGTCTATATAATTCTTTTTGCTTCAACTTAACTATTATTGTTAGAACGAAACATATTATTTTTTAGACCCAAGGCCAAAAAATTTAATTCATTCTCCTATCAATAATCTTAAATTAAATTATAGTGTTCATTTTCCATATTTAAGTTGTTTCAAAATCATTTATCGACTTAAAAACAACAATATATTATTAGAAAAAATAAGACAAATTCACCGATATTTTATTTGTAATCAAATTCATACTATTATCTTCAATGATTTGATAGTTGTCTAATTTAATATTAAAACAAGATTTCATCAAATAGAAATTATGTGATTGTGCTCACATTTATATAAAATAAGGATTGATAAAATATGAGATATAGGTAGTTGAAATATAAGTGAGAATGGTTATGTTGGAAATACAAGGGGCTTTTTTAGATATTTATATATTTCTAAAAAATTTAATGGGGTCTAATAAGATAAAATGCGGAATGCAAATAGCACCACTCTAAAGGAAAAGAGAATAATATGTAGCAATAATGAGATAATATTTTTTAGATTTTTATTTAAAACTTAATAAGGAAGAATATCTCCTATGAGCTATTGTTCCAAAATGAATCTCTTTCTTTCGTTCTACTATTAATGATTATCATATAAAACACTCTCATATATTTATCTTCGCTTATTGGTGTTGTTTCGATGAGACTTTGTTAGACCGATCGTCACGGTATAAAAATTAAACCTAAATACCGTAGTAGCGGTAAGCAGGATCGAATCCACAGGGAGCAAGACTAACAACCTAATGTATTTTAAGTAGTGGAAATGAAATTGGCAATGGATTAATGAAACTAAATAGACTAAATGCAAATAATGAAATAGTGAAATTAAAACAAATAAAGACTTTATAATAAAAATGTTGTCGTTACGATTTTGGTTCGACACGAGACCGACTCACACAATTCTCCTCCACCCTCTACGATCCCCTAAACCTACAAGGCAAGGTAAATCAATGAAATGGCTTCCCGACACTCTAGGTATAATCTATCCTGTCTCACCCGATCACTCAAGTTCGATTGGTTAAAAACTATCATTGAACATCGATAAACGCTACAAGGCAATACCACTAGTTGGTACGCGATTAACAAATACAATTTGTCAACACGTAATATCCAATCAACCAACTTCACAATAAACGCAACAATAGTAGAAATTAAATTAAATCCGAACACAACTCAATTACAATCGATGCGAAGTAATGAAAAACAATATTCATCATTTAATTATTCCAAACCAACGTTTATCATTCAGCAAGTTCTATGAAAACATTAAATCATAATGGACAACAATATTCATCACAAGTTATGCTCAAATCATATTAAAGTATCGAAATCAATCATGAAACGAAAACAAATATAATCCGAAGCACAATACTACCAAATGTCCTATAATCGGGCTCATCCAACTAGTCGAGAGCTGATGAGGAGAGTCGTGGAGTCAATCCCGATCTCGCCTATGCCGTAACAGACAACCGTGAGTTTAGCCGCTCATGGTGGTGATGATGGAGGCCGAAACGGTGGAAACGGAGCTGACCATGGCGGAGAGGAGGTAACTGACAGCGATATGATACGAAGAAGGGGCGAAAACGACCAACGGATAGCCCGGAATACGAACAGCCGCACTTCGCCGGAAAACGTTAATTTTCCGGCGGGTCTTCCGGAAAACGGTGGCGGAAATGGGATCCGAAGGTATCGATGGAAAGCTCTGGTGATGGGGAGTTCAGATCAGGTCCTGGGGAGGTGGGAAGTCATCGGAAATGAGCAGGATCTAGCCTGGAAGATGAAGAGGCGTGGCGACAAAATCACGGATTCTGACGGTTTTCGCAGCGGCTGAAGCTAGGGAAGTGTAGATCCGGCCGTGGGGAAGGGAGATCTACCCTTGGGGAGCTGGAACGTCGTCAGAAAACAGCCAAAACTGGCCGGAAAGACAAAGCGACGCGGTGGGAAGATGAAACGCCGCAGTGGTGCGCTTGATTCACGGTGGTGATGAAGGGATGATGGTGATTGGAGCAAGGGGAAGCCGAAACGTCGCCGGAAAAGGAGATGAAGGGTCACCGGAGCTTGATCGGAGAAGGTGAAGGGTCGCCGGAAAATGATGGATGAACAGCCCCCCCTTTCACGCGAAACTGCATTTTTCTTTTATAGAACAAATTGCAAAATATCAGTTTGTCCCTACACAATTGAAAAGTGATAAAATCAGCCCCTTAAAACATGACATTTTACCCCCTAAACAGCATAAATGAGACAAAATCACCCTTAATCCATAAACCACAACCTAATATCAACTCATATACTTTCCAAAATCATTCCAAACACGTTAAATTCATAAGAAAAATATTAGGAAGCGATTTTCATGAATAAATTCATAAATTCTTTAATTATCTCAATATACTTCAATTTAATCACACATAGGGTATTTTTATCACCAAAATAGAGTCACTTTCATGACTCTATCAGACTTGAATTGAGAATCACACATCAACAATGCAGATGAACCATATAGAAAAAAACTATAAATTTTTATTAAATGCAAAGTAGTTCAATGTGAATGTATATTAACAAGATAATATTTTTTAGATTTTTATTTAGAACTTAACAAAAAAGAATATCTCCTATTAGCTATTGTTCCAAGAGGAATCTCTTT